TACATGACTCAAACAACATTCAAGATAATCATCATTTTCAACCTTTTCACTCTTCCATAATGCAACGACCAGAAGAAGAAAAAAAACAAACTTGGAAAAAATATATTTTTAGCAATTTCGCACAAATCACTTTAATCTTGAGCTAACATTATATTTCTATTTTCATCTCTCAACTTTAATCGCTATCCTCATCTTTTCCTTGTTAACTTACTTAATCCACTTTAAATCTCTTTCTGGCTCACTTTAAGTTCCAAATCTTTTAAAATTATATTCTACTTTACTAATAACTATTGGATTGAAAAATTCATCTCTGCCTGAAATCGACCTTTTCAACCATTTTCTCCCTGCAAACGTTCAAATCAAATTGCGATTTCATCTCAAACAAAATACGAAATAGAAATTTCAGATTCTAAGCCACTGAATCAAGCCAATTCAGCAACAAAACTCAACTTTCGAAATGATTTTCTTGCATCTTTAATATTCCTCAACAATTGCGATTATCCAAAAAGTTGATAAAAATTTTCGAATTGTTTTTAAGAACAAAAATCGCAGATTTTCATGGAAATGAATTGGCCGTTATTCCAGACTTGTTGATAGCAAAATCTCAGCTCAACTGGTTTCTTTGCTAATCTTGAATTATTTGAAAAGAAAACTTTCTCTACTTTAAACCTTTAAATGGTCACTTTGAAAGTGTGAATATTAATAAACTTTAATGATGATGATTTGATGTTAATTAACATGAAAAACATTATTGATTATAATAAATGAGTTGCTTAACAGTGACCATTATCATTAATCAAAATGCAAGTGAAAATGAAAGATGAAAAGAAAAGGCAAGACTGTAAATTATACTAAACCCATTGATCGTTAACAGAAGTCACGTTAGCGCACCTACAGTGTTGACCAACTCTAATGATGAATCCTTTACATTTACCTTTATCCTGATCATTATCACTGTTATAACCATTGTTACTGTAGATATGAATATTGCGTTAAGTGGTTTCCCTGTTCATTAACATTCAACATTTGGCAACAAGATTAACATTGACTGATTAAGGGAAAGGTTAATATCGAGTACAAATAAACAAAAATCAATGTGAATCCATTTTGAGAAGCATTTCACCCTTGGTGGTTACCCTGCTTCTCAGTTACTCACAACCTTTTATTTCAAAACGATCAATAGATGAAAGATGAACAAAAAACACAGAAAAAACAGTTTCTAATCTTGTTCAAATAAAAATCTTGTTCATCAATTACAAATGAAAATGGACAGATAAATAGGTAAAGCTGTATAGAGTTTCCTCAGCCTTAGCAAGTTAATTATCCAGGTTGATAACCTTAATCCATGTAAGGAACTTTGGGTGGAGATTGGATGTTTGATGAACAACAAAAAGTGACAAAATAACATTTAAAAGTTGAGATTAGGTGAGCCTCAAAATTGAGTTTCCAAACAAAAAGAGCAACTTCTCTGATTGCTAATGACAATTAAAAAGACTTTTAATTAATGATTAAAGTTACAGTTAACCTCATAAATACATGCTCCAGTTAATTTGATGGAAACAAGCATGTTACTTGGTAACCACAAATGAGCAACTTTGATATTAAAATGAACAGATGAACATTTATCCTCATCACAGAAACTTTTTTTCTTCCACTTTTTATTCCATTTTTTGCTCTCAAATTTTCACTCACATTAACCAGTGAAAACCCCGCCTCAGTCATTTTTGTGAATAAATCGCAATCTTTTTTTCCTTCTTTTCTTGCAAGATTCATATTATTTTGCCATTTTTCTTGAAGAGAAACTTGATTCCAAAATAATGCTGATAACTATGAACATTTTCATTCCAACATCTCATCAATTTTGAAAAATTTGATTCACACCCAATAGTGAAAAGCTTTTACAGCCTCACTCTCATCCTTTATCATCCTCTTGCCTCTTCAAGTTGCTGACTTCATTTTCAAACCTTCAAACATTATTACATCAACATTGAGTGGAAAACCTTTTAGTTTACTACAGGGTCCGCCACAATACATGTCAGCCTGTATTTTTTGAATAACTTTTTTATTTTTTCGTCAATCAAGCTCATTCTCACAGAAAAAAATCTTGAATAAAGGGGAAACAAAGATATGGACCGGTCGAATTTTTCGGGTATCGCAGGTCAAAATTGCGCCTGCGCGAAATGAAGGTACAATTTTCGGGCGTCGTACGGGTTTTTGTTCTATCTTTTTCGACTGTACAGATATTTTTAAGTTTTTTGCAGTGTTTTACAAACTTTGTTAGTCACTTGCCAATGTTCTGAAATAATTTTGTCATTGCGTTCTGATAAAAGCAATTTATAGCCGATTGAATAGGACACTTCATCATGCGCGAATTCGAGCAAATTGAAAAATAAAGCATTGATGTGATGGAGCAGTATTATTCTGCTACTCAATAGGTGCCAGGGGCAAGAAAAACCCTATGGAGTTATTCTGGACTGAAAAATGTGCATAGTATCTGAGAAATCTGTCTATGAAAGCCTCATTGAATAACATTGGGTCTGAAAATGACTTTTTTTTGCGCAGGCGCCATTTTGACCTGCGATACCCGAAAAATTTGACCGGTCCATATCTTTGTTTCCCCTTTATTCCTCTTGCCTCTTCAAGTTGCTGACTTCATTTTCAAACCTTCAAACATTATTACATCAACATTGAGTGGAAAACCTTTTAGTCTGTATTTGTTGATAGTTATTTATCAAATATATGTTACCATTTTGTTCAATTTATATATTGCCAAATGAACGGCAAATCTTAAACTAACCTCTTCACAGGTCTTGATATGATCAAACCTTCAAGGCAAATTGAGAAGTTCATTTTGGCTCCTTTTTTCCATTCCTTTTAAACTTCCTTTTTTAAACGAAAAAACCTTTGTACAGATGAAAAGAAAAGGCAAAAGTTTGGAAAATGTTAGAAAAAAGTGTTGCAAATAAATGGGTTAACAGAATAGGAATCATTTCTCAATGAACATCATGAAAGCAACACTTTGTAATCAAAGCAAAGTATCAATAATCTTCAATTGACTCCAAGTATCATTTTACTCTTGAAAATGATAATCTCTTTACCTTTCAAGTTATGAATGGAAAAATGAAAAGTCCGAAAAGGTCATCTTTCATCTTAATGAGAAAACATTTTCTTTCCCTTTCTCATCATCCATCTTCAGTCTATCATCACTTTACAACTCAATTTCCCTTTCAACCTTCAATAAAACTCGAAGAAAAAAGATTCTCATTAAAAGGTAAATTCGGTTATCAAGAGAAAGGCTAAACTTTTCAATATCAAGTCATTTGAAACTCGAAACAATTGATCTTGCAATTGATTTACCCTGAAAGGCAAGAGCCAACACTAATGATAAACACACAGAAGCCAACATAACTCAGCTAATATTTGCCAAGATTTTATCTCTTCTTCTTCTTCTCATGGCTTCTATCATTCCTCCCGTTATCATCTCATCTCATCTTATTGAACATTTACTTTTTTTTATATTATTTGCCTTCTCATCTGAATCCATCTTCAAATGGTTACATCCTCTTTGACATAAACAAAAGCCTTAATAACAATATCTTGTTTCCTATTAAACCATCTTGAGGTCTCAATCATCCTTTTCATGATAACCAGAAAAGCCTTTTTTTCACTTTAATTAGCATCACTTTCACCTTCTCATCCTCATCCCAACACCTCATATTGTGCTGTCATTTTCAACTAACCTTGAAATTGAGGCAACAAAAGAAAGAAACCAGAAAAGATGTTCAACAAAACATGATGAACATGGTTCAAGTGGCTTCCCTTTACTGTTTCTTATTGAAGCGACTTGAGTCGACATTTAATTGCAACTAATCCTGATTACTGTTATAACATTCTGCTTCCCTCATTACCAACTAATTAGTAAATTAACATGTTTGCGCTTTTCTACTCAGAACTAAAATCTCCTCTTGAGTTTCAATTTTGAATTCCTTCTTCAGTCCTCATTTCACATCATCATTATCATCATTAATCTTGTTTATCCATTTAAAAGTTTAAACAATTGAAATTGGAAACATTTGATGAATCTCATTAGAATTGAAGGAAAAACTCATTTTCACAGTTTTCCAAGTTTACGGAATCGTCATTAGAATTTGAAAAAAAGAAAAAAACTTTTCTTCTTCCATCAAATTGAAACAAAACTCATCTAAATCATGACTTTTCTCTCTCATTATTCCCATCAATTTGCATAACTATAAGTGTTGACACAAGTAACAAGCAATCAAACTTTTTATCACGATTTATGCATCAACAAACCTCCATGCAAAAGCAACATCAAAACTGATCATCTTCAACCCTCATGATTCAGATATTCATTGAAATAAATGTCATGCATTTCTTTTGTTTCTATTTTGCAATTTCTAACAATTCTGTTAGCAAAATTGTAAGAAATAAAAGGTTGAAATAACAGCCAAAAATGAATTCATGATTTGGTAGAAAAACTGAAAACTGAAAAAGCAGATGATGTTGATTATCCGCCTCCTCGTCGGTCCATCTCAATAGCTTCAAAGGTAAACCTAGTAACTCAAATTAACCCAAAATTACCGGTTAATATGAGTCTATTAATTTAAGGGCAAACAATTAATTTGAAGAGCAACAACAATGTTTAACTTTATGTTTAATGAACAATAAGCAACACCTAAGGGTGCAGGTAAAACCAAATTCAATGTTGGGAACCAGTTTTGTTGCAAGAAGATCCCACAACATCCTTTGTATCTTCAGCATCATGAACCATTTGCAGACCGCCCAACATCACTTTATCCCTACGGACATTCACCTAATCCTTATCATTATCTGTTCGCTTCAGTTTTACCTTTAATCTTGTAACACCTTCAATTGTGCTTTTGCGCCACTCATCTTTTAAAGTCAATTTTGTTTTCTTCTATTAATTAATTGATTTGATTAAAGTTAATTAATCTTGTTGTTTCATTTTCTTCCTTCGTCAGGTCGTTCTTTTCTCAAAGAATGGACTGCAATCATGTGTTCATCCAAAGGAAGCCTTCCAGATGATCGCAATTCCGATGACAAGTTGACTCCGAGTTTGGATGGAGACGAGTCCCGAGGATCAACCAGCAATACAAGACGACCTTATCCATCACCTCGTTGGTCGCCCCGTTACCCTCAGCGACCTTTACCGACTCCAGATTGGAGAAAGCCAAGTACATTCGATAATGATCTGAGTTTAATGTCGACCGTTTCTCAAAGTACTCAACATGGTCCAGGTTTGTCAATATAGACATTGATTTAAAACTCTTTTCCCACTCCAATCAGTTCAATCTTTTTCCCAACCCTTAACTTGCAACATTTGTCAATCAATTTTGAAAAGTAATTTTTCTCAATTCATTTGGCAAAAGCATGGCTTTCATTAACTGTTCAATTGATGACAATTTCCGAATCAGATAATTTAAAGTTAAACTTGATTATGATTAAATAAATAGTCAACAAGTTTGACAAATCAGAGCAAAAGTCATTTACCATTGAGATGAAACAATGTGATAACAATGAGATCAATAGAAATCCATTTTCATGCTTTTTCTGTCTAAAAATTATCATCAATAAAATAATCAGGAAACAGGAAATGTCGCTAAAATGTCAACCTTTAACCCTTGATTAAACTCTTTTAAACCATTTATATTAATCATTTGTCATTCAATTGCAGCATTTGGATCGAAAGAAGGTCAAGATGGACGGAGAAGCTTCAAGTCGGTGAAACCATTCAATGCAGGAATGCAACTCTTTCCAAGTCACATTTTATCCTTAATTTTAAGCTTGAACCTCATCCTATTGGTACAAGGACAAGGAATTGTGTGAACATGGCAAATCATGTGAATGGTGAAAGAAAATGAAACTTGCAAAAGCGCAAGAAGGAAAAGGAACGCAAAAATCAGTCAACACTGAAAACCCACACACGATTCAAAGTGGGCTGTGAACTTGTTTTCAGTCCTGTCAACAAGACTATTCAACTTGATTGTCTGATGATGAGGACGATCATGAAGCCAGACTAAACTGAAAACTGAAAGACTTGCAAGGTTGAAATTAGCGTCCAAACAATGGCCACAATCAAAGTCCCGATAAACAAAAGACTTGTCCGGGATTCGCCCAATGCCAGACAGTCTTAATTGAATCAATTGCCATCAATTACAATAATCAATATTGATCAACTTTTTACTCAATTATCTTCAATTTGAATGGATGGAAAGATTGCCTTAAAATTTGGCTGCTTAATCAACTTTGTCTCTCAATCAATCAATTACTTGGTGAAAAACCTCTTTAATTGTGACTGTGATAATGATTTGAGTCTTCAAATGGCAGGTTAACTCAACAAAGAAGATAACTTTTACTTCTTCCTTCATCTTCTTTCTTTTGTTAGAGAAGATTATTTCTTCTATTGTTAACTTTATCATGATGATAATGATACCAATAACAATATCATGTTAATATCAGAACTTTACTGTTCTGTTTACTATTTTTGCAGATGAAAAAAAGAATTATGTTTTCTCTCTTTCTCTTCATTTCTTTTCATGATAGTGATACAATCTCTCATTGATAATACAAATGATCGTCTTTTCAATATTGCAATCAATTCCAACTTCTCAGAACTTTTGTATACAAAAGCAGTTAAGGAAACATGATGAAACATGCAAAAGTGCAAATTATTTCATTTCATATTCATAACTGTTTCAGGTTCAGTTGATGGAATAAAAGATTGGACGGAAAATGTTGATTATCAATTGTCACCTATCGATTGACTAAACAAATTGTTCAATTGAATCAATGATTTTTGTCTGTTCATTTGAATAGCAACATTGATTTGGGAAAATTTGCTGCTCAATGGAATCAATTGCATGCAATTTGAGCTTGCATTTAATCTAAAGTTGATTAAACTCGCTGACTGTCTTATGATTTTTAACCATTGCTGTTGCGATCATCAAATGATTAACAGCCAAATGAACAATTTAATTGCCATTTCTTGAAATTCATTTCTCCTTTTCTACTTTCTAATCATGTTTCTTAATCGAGATTCTTGATAAAACTACATTTAATGATCAATCCAATTCTATGTAAAGAAACTTTGTAAATATCAACAACTAATGTGTACATTATTTATTGTAATATAAGTAAAATTAAATATGATAAAATTTAAATTGTTTCATTTCTCACTAAATAAGTAAACAGATAAGTTGATTAGCGAAGAATCAGATTCATCGAAATGGGTTTCCTGTACATTAACCTTTCAGAATTGCTGTTGTAATAAGTTATTACTAATAACTTTACAAAATGATCATTTAGCTTTCACAAATAACTATTAACATTGCTTTTTAATAAAATCATTGAAACTTATTGAGTTGAAAAAGTTATCGCACACATTGGGTTAACGCCATCTTGTGTCTCTTTTTACAGCTAAAAATTAAGATGTTGAATACGTACCGAAAGATGGCGATAGCAAACGTCCAATTGAATAATTGAATTTAAATTTTTGGTAACATGATTTCAACGCATTGAGTTGAGATAGAAATTTAGAAATTCGAGAAATCCTTTTCACTCAAGTCTTGTATGGCAACTAGAGGAACCGTTAAGCCGGTGCTTAAAATTAACTCGCAACTAAATTGGCTCTTTGCGTTTAACGGTACAGTTTTAATTGTAATATGTCTGTTTCAACAATAGTCTTGAGTGATACCGAGATATTTTAAGTTTAATTGTTAGCTCATAATTAGTGTTCAGTGCAAAGGTTTACTAAAAAGGAAATTTCTTGAATTATTGATTCTATTATAAATTAAGTAAAAATGGCGAAAATAACATTTATAGCAGCAACCTTTCGAGTATTCAAGTTTGGAGCGTCGACAAAATACCTTCAGCCGATTGCTTTTCAGTGACTGCATCTAATAAATGCTCTTGTTGTGTCCTAAAAAGTAGATATTTTTATTTCAAAATTTTACAAAGCAAAAAATGAACTTACAAAACCGACTGACTGTAAAGACACAGAGTTGAAAAAAGGGCGATGGAATGCTGAGGTGGCAGCTAGTTGCGTTATATTGATCTTCAGGAAGGCCCATTGAAATTGGACATGGATTCATCAATTGGAGAGATGAATTGAGTGATATTATTGTTGGGATTATTTTTGTTGTTTTTCATTCAAACCTTCTTGGATTCTAAATGATTTAAAGCAGTTTATTGAAACTACAAATAAACTAGTCTATCATGAAATGTCTCAATTACCATCAAGCTCGAATTTTGTGTCTTTTTATTCTTCATTCACCAGTCGCCATTACCATGTCTAAACCCTATCGTTCTGCAGCTAATACCTACAAGTATCAAGTGTTTCCAGTGGAAGGGATGGACAATTTTTACACCATTTACGTTGCAGGAGAAGTGGTAACAGTTGAAATTGATCCAGAAGCCGAGTCGGATCCGAAAAAGATCCTAGAATGGAGAGTGGTGAATACAAATAAAAGTAGACTCATGTTCATCACAACTAACGGCTTTGGATATGTATTGTATAATAAAACTTATGTGAAACCAGTGAAAAGGCCGAGTGGATATCTGTTGAGTGGAAATTTCATAATGTTGGGAGACAACAAAGTTATTCACGCACAACTTGTCCTTGAATATTCAACTGATCCATTTACTTATTTAGATTTGTTGTATTTCAATGAATCTTCTCAAGAACCTCAGCTGGAAATAGTTGACCAAATAAAATGGTTTACCTCGGAAGATGGTAAACACCTTTCACATTGGAATATACTTACTCACATCTTTATCGGTGACAAGTTGTACATTGCAATAGGCCGTGATTTGGTTGCACAAGGTCAGATTTCAATCATGAGATTGTGTCTCAACCAAGGAGATGCAATCCTTTCAAGTGCAGTTGAAGTTTATTTTGAGGCTGAATTTGCTGCTAAAGCATATTTCGTCTATAAATTGGGTAAACTGGACGATGAATCGAAAAGGTTTTCCCTTTTAGTTGAGCGCAATTACGCTGGACAGCAGCTGGTTGGATCCTATGAACGTTATTTCATTGACAATTATTCAACCATTTTCGATGAAGTCGCTGAAAACTGTGCCAAAGGCGTTGACGGCTACATTACAATGCACGATGTCATTACATTTAATAATAAAGGCTGTCAGCCTAGAATTGTGACAACTTGTTCTTTCCCCAAATTTTACATTCCATCGTACAAGTTGAACTTGGAGAAACACCTGGAACCCAAAACAATGTTGCGTCTTTTTGTTATCCACGACGGTTATCCTTTCGAGGAGACTCGATTTATTTTTCTCGAAGGAATATCCTTCTATGATTGTCCATTAAGCTCGATTAACGCTGCCCTTTCACCTGAATGTACGCCAAAATATCCTTACGATATTAATCGATACTTTTTTTATTTCAATTACATTACTTCCACTCTGTTTTGGCTCGATCAAGAGGCTAAGACTTTTGGTCACACAAATTTCAACTGTGAAAGGTTCAAAGATTGCTTCAGTTGTATCATGTTTGGCTATAATTCCAAGTGTACCTGGGATAACGTCTATTGTAAATCAAATTCATCCTTTGTTGATGCGACTTCTGCATCAGTCAACTTTTGTTTCAAAATCACCAATTTTAAGCCCAGATCATTGGCCGAGGGATCAAAGTCGAAACGAATTTTCATTAATTTCATTGGAGTTCCTGATTGGAGGGCAGATCTTGATTTTAAAATTTACGTGAAAATTGGTTCTGATTCATGTGACAAACTCACTTTTGTTTATGAACCCGAAGCAGGCTACAAAGTAATTTGTCAAATGGATATTCGAAGAGTAGGAAAATTTAAAATCAATGTGACTTTTGCTTACGAACATTATGGCAATTCGATTCCAATTGTTGCCATTTCAAACAATTTCATTACTTTTAGGTCAGCCGGGCAGACAGATGGAACAATTTTATTTGCTCAAATTTTTGCTCTATTCCTTGTTTTCATGGTTTTCTTCATAGCTGTGTTATTCATTTTCTGTCCTTGTGATGGTAAAGGGCGGAAAAGAGCACGCAAGCGTTTAAGTTCAGAAATTTCACTTAGGATGCGAAGCATAAGTCGTACAATTTCGGGAATAAACCACAAATCAATGAACCCAAAATTGAAATGGAAACTGATGACAAGGTTGAAAGGGAAATCTTCAAGTGAATCGTCAAGATCAGGTTCAAGGTATTAGGAATTGTCCACTTTATATCTGAGTTCGATGGTCCAATGAAGCACAACATTCAACCAATATGAATCAATTCTTGTATTAAAAAGAGGTTTCTCCAGAATCTAAAACAAAGAGTGCTTTCGGTCTTCTCGTTTAATGGTACTTGTAGCAACTGCTGGTCTCAACCAATCTCTTAATGATGCTCAAAAGATACAATCGTATTAAATCGAATGTGACTTGAGAGGCAGAGCATGTTGACGCCAGGAAACAAGATGTCCAAACTTGGCTCGAGAAAATGTTTCTTCCATAAATTGAAATCTTCAAGCGATCCAATTTAGTGGCTGTTTATTCACATTTAATGCAATAGTTGAAATTAATTGATTTGAGCTAAAAAAATTTAAATTTAAAATAATTTGCAACAAACAGTTTCAATTGTTGAGTTATGAGGATAAGCTGAAAGTTGACTAAAAATTACAGTTTAAAGGAAAATCACATTTTCAATGTTTACCTGCACTTTGATCAGTGAAAAGTCTCGGCCATTGGATAAAATGGTCATTGAACTGACTCTCGAGTAGAAAATGAAAATTACAGTTTGTTTATGTAAATTAAAGATAACTTCCAACTGTAGCTTGCGGTTCTAAGAAACTTTGTCTCGACCTTTCAATTCTCGACGCATTTTCTAGCAAGTTTATTGATTGAGTTGGCTTTTGTAATGAATCAAATTTGCATAAACAGAGTGATTGGAATGACCTCTTGAATCTTTGAACTTTAACTTGCTATTTGTACAGTCTTGCAGTCTTTACATTAATGTTGACTGATCAAGAACAATAGAGGCACCAAGGCCACAATTCACCAAGGTTTGATTACAAAGCTGTATTTATCTTCCTTCTTCTATTTGTTTTTATATTCTTTAGATATACAAGGTAATTTCCGGACTCTGAGCATAGAATGATTTGCAATAATTCAGTAATCATCAGTCAACTTTTCTTGCTTATTGCAGTTGCTAGTCAAGTTAAGCTTCAACTTTTCATTCAAAGTTTTGTTTAACCATTATTATTGTTTCTAATCACCTAATACTTAATGTTCAGCCTTTCAGTTTACTCAATAATCAAGGCAAAGTGGGAAATGGTGTGAGCCTCAATGGAAAAGTGAAATTATGAAAAAATGCCATTTATGGTTACATGTAGATTCTTTGATTTATGGCATGAAAACATGTCCAACTTGTAATGTTAAGTGTTGAAGATGATTTATTAACAACAATTGTTTTACCAAACATATTGTCTTCAGTGACCATTGGATAAGTGCCAAGATAATAAACTGTGTGATGAGCCGATAGACTGTGCCTTAAGTTAATGTGTGAAAATTCACAGTTAATCAACTAAGTGAATGTTGAAGTGAAAATCAAAGTTGCTGGAAACTAAACAAAATGAATGTTCCCAGAGACGAGGTGAGGTACCGTCGTGGGACGGCTGTTGGTCCCTTCATTCCAAGTCACAATCTGTTGAAGATACCAACCAATATGCAGCGAAAGTCTAGTTTACCGATAATTGCGCCACTTCGATCTGACAGTTTGTCAACATCAACATCATTGAGCACAAAATCATCGCCTTTACTGGATCTGCCAATCCACTTCTCATCTGGTAAATCATCCTCTTTATCACCAGCATCATCATCATCTTCATTCTTATCAACAAATTATAACACAAGTGTCAATAGTGTTAACGTTTCTTCTAAAAATTATTATTCTTCCTATTATGATCGAACATTTGGTGCCAACTGTTCAAGTGCTGATGACGATGAATTTGAAGACGAAGACTCGTCACCCGATACAATTTTGATTGAAAGCGGTAAAAGGTTGAGTGCTGTTGGCCTTGCTTTCGGTCAACATCTCCAGACGATGGCTCTCAAGTTTTCAACCAACCACAAGGATATAATTGATAAAACACGGATTCTCTGTGCTCGCCATGTTCGCACCAAATTATCTAAAAGTGGTTTAATCGATAAACGTTCATCTTTAACTAAACTTAGATCAATGAGCAACATTGACTTTGATCCACTGCTGGTTGACCTGATGGACTCGATAAGTGATTTAATAACTGAAATGGACAGACGATCTCCAGGTTTGTTTGACTCGGCAATCAAAAGATCGGGCGCAAATGTGAGCATTTTATCGTCACCCGAGAAAGCCTCGTTTGCTTTGACAGTAATTTTGGATGAAATTTTCATCGACTCAATAAGTTGGCCAAAGATAGCAGCCATGTTTGGTGTTACCGGTGCTCTGGCCGTCGATTGTGCCACCAAAGGAAAGCAAGAATACATAACCAGTTTGGTGGATACGGTTGGCAATTACACCGAGAATAATCTAGCTCGATGGATTCACAATCAAGGTGGTTGGGTGAGTTAATCCCTGAAGCTGCTTGAACTTTTCTTGATAACTTGTTATTCTTTTATCTTCTAGTCTAGCTTGATTTACTGTTACAATAAAGAATCTTCATGGTCTCGTCCTGTTCAATATTTGGCTTTAATTACATTCTTTTTTATTCTCATTTTAAGCATAATCTGGTTCAAATTTTAACCAGTTTATGCTTAAAATGGAGTAAATACAAACGTCTTTTGCTTTTATCTTTCCATTAACTATAAGTCGGAAAACCTTGATCTGAATGTAATTAGTATCGATTATATCTGTTGTAAAAATTATAATTTAATAAATGATGTCGCTTGTTGCGGAACTTTGCCTCTAGATTACATTTCAAGTCATGGTAATAGGTGATAATTGTAGAGCTAATTACGGGAAAAATCAAAGGATTGATTCTCCATTATGATAATCGTCTCTCGTCTCGTTAACATTCAATTACCTGCATCAAGAGTAAATATAAAGCTTATATCAAGATCAATATTATTTACTTAACATGTGTTTCTAAGAAGCATATTAGATGGAAATGTCAACTCATGAAGTTAGACACAAATTTATCTGTAAACTAAGGAATGACTGATGAATCAAATGTTGAAATTGAAGGGTTAATCAAATCTAAAGCATTGACGGATTTGTATCCAAATGGATATTTTCGCTATTGATATTTTGCTTTCTTTGAAAAATCACCAATATTGGAATATAATTTTTCTGCTATCAAATACACAATCAATTAATTTTCAGTTGATATTGAAATATTCAGAAATAGAATAAGTTTTCAACACAAAACGGGATAAAATTTTGAAGCTTTTGTAGTCATTTGAAAATCGATAGACATTTATCCAACAGCAACAATTGAGTTTTGCTATTGATTTGTCATTTTTGTACAGTAAATTAACTCTTATATTTTACACTTTATCATTCATTTATATTTTGAGTTCAATACAATTGTTATTGACTTCATTTCATTTGAACATTTGGTCAAGAATGATGTAGAAATGTTTCAAGAGGTAGTTCGGACAACAATTGCTATAACCCATTTTACACAAGAAAACTATTTATGGTGTTTGATGAAACCAATACATTCGTTCGGCCGGCGATCTACATTTTCATGTTGTTAGTTTAATCGTCTCATTGATAGACATCAAATTAATATGGTGGATCCAAATGAACAGAACAACCCATTTCGAATTTTGATCAATCCAAAGAATATACTTCTGCTCATCTTTACAATATCAACTTTCATAGATGTGATTGTGTTGGCTGTTGAAATCAATGATTCAAACAACTCTTTATTTTACTCCAGTTACTTCCATATTCGCATATTTCCATATTTTTACTATTCCTTGCTTCTGAATGGAATCGTTATAGCTGCGATCATTAAACGTTGGTCAGGCATATTAAACCTTTATCGTATACTTTGCATCGTTTCACTCGTGTTTGTAATCCTGGTAAGCGTTCCTCTAGTTGGTTCCTTTACATATGATGGTGCCGATGGAAAAGTGGCTGGAGAAACGAGCTATCATTTGATGTTTTGTGTCTATTTGCTTGCAACACTTTCGCTGAAAATTCACTATGTGGCCAAATATATCAAACAAATTTCTAGCCAATAGAAGCTTGAAAAGGAAAAGTTTGTTTCATTCTTTAAATTAGATTCTGGTTTTAAATCGTTTCACGGTAATACTGATTTTTACAGATTGCTACTTTCTTAGTCTTCAATACAGTAAACTCTGGATTTTGTGAACAGTTACTTGTGACTGGCTATGTTGAAATAATCACCAAGTAACAACTCTTTGTCATGAAACTGAACATAAACTACTGAATTTCTTCGTGTTTTCTGTCAGTAGATGGCTCTTCTTTTGCAAAAAAACCGATGGTTCACTGTAGTTACGACAGTTCAGTAACTATGAATCAAGACGAAAGACTTCAAGAGATGATTTCTAGTGTCACCATCTGTTGTTGCAGTTTCATATTGAATCAAACGAAAAACAGAGACCAGATTCAATTTTCTCGCTAATAGCTTATTCACTAAAACAGTTTCCTCTTCAACTTGCTATGGACATGGTCCTCGATATCTTGAGCAGGAGTGGACGTATTAAAAGTGAACTTCAACCAATTAAAATCAGTTTTAACTGCTTACGAAGGGTTATCAATTTTAAAGATGTAGCTTTGAGATGACCAGAGAGGAACAAATGAAAAGGGCTAGAAGGTGAAGAATGCTTTTTCTTCCTCGTTGATGCTGGAATAAATAGAAATGAATTGAAATATAAGTAACTGAAATTACGAATTGTTATTACTCTTGAACAAGAACTAACAACATAAGCGATTGGACAATATAAGAAACTTGAAATATCTATTTAATTATTTTGTTTCTCTTTTTACTTGTAACTTTGAATGAAATTATTGTTCTCTGCTTTAATAATAAAACCATTGTGGGCGCCATTGTATGTAATCATCGGCAATTTTTGCGTTTTGTGACAATCAATTGCCTCCATAGAAAACAATGTTAAAATAAAAACTTGAATAACTTGAGTTGTGATTAATGTTTTTCAATTTTTACCAGACACTTTATTATCAAATCACCATTGCAAATTGAAAATTTCATGATCATATTCAAAAAAATTGCCTTTAAAAATAAGTTACTTAATAGTAAACATAATAAACATAACCAGCTTCAGTGTAAGTCTAGTGTTTTACGATCGTAACAATTTTGATCGATCGAAATAAATCGTCCAACAATTTTCCTTAGTTATTGTTTTGTGTCCGTATAACTAGACTGTTACCCATTTTCCTAATTAAGAGCTCCGCTTAAAACATGCTTTTGATACAGATTTTCTGAACCTTTGATCATTTAAAATTTTGATCGATCATGATCGAGAGCTTTTGATCGATTTTGATCTAGTAATCGATCATGATCAACACTAGGTAAGTCTCAATAAAATAGCAGAGTTCAATAGACTGTTCAAAGACAAGATGAAGGTTTGAAGCGAATCGTGAAGCAAGTTAATTCTGGTTTGGCAAAGATACGATAATCGAAAGCAATTTAAAAATATCACATTTCTTTCAATGTACAAGTCAATTGAAGCTGAACAATTTATGTTTATATTATTAATCGATTCCTTGTTCTCTTGATGCAACTTGAATTATCAGTTGTTTGTAACCAATGAATCTTGATTATCATATTCTCATGTAAACTTGAAACCCTTTTGCTAACCAGTCAAGAGAGTGTCCTTGAATATGTACAATCAACTATAATTTAAGAAACATCATCATTAATATTAAACATAAACGAAAATCATGTTTTGATTTAAAGCCTTTCCTCATTCACTCAGCTTCAATGTTGTACTTTTTAAAGAAAGCAAAACTAAACAATAAATTAACTTGAATAGCTGAATTGAAATGATAAAAGTTGATTCAACCCTACAAAGCTCAGAAGAGAGATGGAAACAAGGCACTTTAAACCAGCAAACTTGAACGCAACCTTGGTCGTTGTCTTGGCCAAGGCAACCAGCCATTTAACCAAAAGACGTTATGTTAACCAGATTGACAAAGTAATATGAGTTGCTTTAAAAAAAGATCAACAATAGAGATAAGAAATAGAGAGAAAGGGATTTTAAATGAAAATGCTGGTAAGAGTTGAAAGTAAACTGACCTGGATAGTCATCAGAAAGCTACACCAATGGAAGCTTATTTTAGCTTATCAGCTTGTTGATGTTTTTACTTTCGTTGGGTAATCTATTCTAATGCCATAAAAATTAACATCTAAAGTACAGATCTATGTTATTTCACCTGATCAACTCATGGTGATATGAATCTGGATGCGACTCAAAACAAAAGTTGAGTAAAGAGCGCAGGACAATGTTGGTTGGAGTCTCATTGAGAATGATCTGATGAAAGGAAAAGATGAAATGTAAAAGTGAGAGTTAAAATGGGCCATCTAAATATCTAATATTATCAACAGTTTTACCTTGAACTTGAAAATGTATATCATGTTGTATGGCATTGAACAAAGGTAAGAATGGCGAATCCAATATTCAGTCTGTTGCTATAATTCAAGGTTAAGTAGTTTTGATAATTTACCTCTTTTATTGATTGTTTGGGAAAATAATGTATCCATCAAAAGTGGCTTGGTGAAGATGTCTGTAAAAGATGAAAAAAAACAAGAATTAGTTTGATCAATATGCAAATTGTAGGTTTATTTTGAGGTTGATGAAGGGATCGATGAATTCGGGATGGGGGGAAATTCGGGTTCGATTGTTTAATCAATACTCTTCAGATTATACAAAGATTTTCTTGTTCGAAAATGCATTGAGGAAGATTGAAGACACGTGCTGATGTAATTTAATCCAGATCTTGAGAAAGCTTTATCTTAATATCAGGATTTAAAACATTGAATGTGACGCATTTTTTCACTATTGAGCCTGGTAACCTTTTCCTAGGTTTTTAAAGTGAGAGTTAAGATTGGCAATTTTCAAACCGTATTTTGAAAAACCATGATCTCAAATGTTTATATTTAAATGTTTTGAGTTGCAACGCAATTCTGAAGGTAATTTGAACTTCTAGCTGCAAGGAATTACGAGAAAACAACAAACAATTAAACCAATTAGATCCAAACTTTTTCCTCATAGGTTAGTCTGTGTGTGGGTTGTGGCGATGAATAACAAAGTGATCAAGTGAATCTTGAGTTAAATTCAACATTTTTTATTCAATTATGTGTTAGTTAAGGTAATTTGTACGTTTCTTTTGAACCAGAAAAAAACATCAAAAAACATACATTTATAATGTAATAACTTTTAAGGGCTTAATACGATGTAATTAGATGAGGAAAGATAGAATTATGGGAAACGTTTGATTGATTAGATCCATAATGAAAAATAAGATAAGAGGAAAAGAGAAAGAGATAGAAGTAAAGAGTTGATGGTGAGAATGAAAGAATAGAAAGTTTAGCTTTTTTGGCTTTTCCGGGTGAATGAATCGTCCTTTTGATTTAACTGTCCAAAAATCATGCATTGATACTTATGAGATCCATTATACCAATTCTTTAAGTTGAATTTTGCTGGTTCCATCCAGAGTTAATGCTGCTGGTGCTGGTGAACCATTATCGGTGAAGGAGTTTGCATTATTTACATTGTGGTGATGATGATGATTGAATTGGGGTTGAATTTTAGAGACCCCATAAAGATGAGAATTAAATTGGAGATGATTGAGAGGTTTGTTGTTGTTACTGTTATAGTTTACAGTATTATCGTTGATGTCATTATCAACATTTACATTTGATTTGTTGTTTGCATCAATTTCGGGCGATGTTGTAAATTTTGAAAAAGCCAACAAGGTTTCCGGAAAATTAGGTGGTGTTGCTGGAGTATTGGCTGGTGTTGTAAGTGGATTATATCTTCCACTTGGATTAAGCCCGACAACGGGTGACTCTTGAAAAAAGATACTCAAAGCTCGTTGAAATTGCCAATTATTGTTTTTAAGCATTTTCTTTGCCTGATCATGATTACACCCAGCAACCGAGACAAACTGATTAATCATAACTTGTTCCCGTAGCGTGTCCATCGCATCAATCTTGTAAATTTCCTGGATCGTTTGGATAACAATTATTGAACCACCTAATCAACTGTAAAACATCCAAAAAAACAGACTGGTAATGTTAACAAACAATGTAAGCAAAATGTAAACAAAACAAGTGGATAAGAAAAAGTAAAGATACGCACAGTTTATCCTCTGTATTAATAAATCGTCACAATTTGTAAAGTTGATGATGGTCACAAATCATTTAAAATAAACTGTAACAGGAAAATTAAATGAAACAAAATTAGCAAACACACAAAAATAAAATAAAATGCGCGTTCAAAAAAAATATCACACAAACATTGCCAACACAAATGTTTAATGAAAACAAGTCAACTTTTGTAACTTAACATAATAATGGGAAAATACAATTTTTCCCTCTCAGAAGAAGACGACTACTAACAGTTATCATAGATGGAAGCACATTTTGCAATAACAAAAATTCTTGTTAAATTAACTCGATTTGTTTAATGTTTTCATTTGATTTGACATTTTAAATAAAAATGGTTCCAAATCAAAATGATTTATATCTAATCAGTGTCTCTAATTTATTGTACCTTAATCATCAAACTCTGATTTGCAACACTTGTGATTAACCTGTGATTAAACCCAAGATTGAACCAATGTTATTTCAAAGGTAACCTAAAAAAAGCTTCATCTGGCTTTGGTTTTGATTATACTTTAAAGATGGAGTTACCTTTCTTGTTAAACATGGTGATTAACTGATTATTTGGAACGGAAATTGCGTCACAAGATATTCTCATTGTTTTTATGATTATATTCAAGGTTTGAACTCATGTGAGCTGAGTAACTCAACATACTGTCCATGATGGCGCATTAAAAGAGGAAACCGTTTGTCATCCAGATGTCAACCCATTAACCCGACTTTTTAATTTACTCGTTTTGTTAACCATTTTTCATGATGACCATTAATTTACTCTGATTATACATTTATTGTTCAACCAGTTTCCTGACTTACAACTAATCAATTTAATCAGCATCAATCTAGCAGAAAGAAAAGGACAATTCCAAGAGTAAAGCTTGACTCCACTGGAAACCCAAATCATTTGATTTTTTCTTATGATGTTCATTTTGTTAAATTCAATCAAAATTGATCCCAATCAGTTCAAGAATGAAATTTAAATGATTCCAATTCATAATTTCCATTCATTCTTGACTTTGGAAAGTCAACTCATCTGAAAATATCATTTCTTGAACAAATGCACAACTCCAATTGTGTGTTATTACAAGCAATAAAATGCAAACAAACATAAAATTTTCAACTTGAATTGAAATTGAATGAAAATTTAAAATAAAAATGAAGAGAAAAGGAAAAGATAAAATAACAAAACATTGAAAGGTCAAGAATGGACAATTTGAATGAACAGTAAAGAGTAGAAGGGAAAAAATATCATTCAAATTTAAATTATTCAATCAAATGGTAATGTTGTACATAATAAAACCATAATGGATGTCAAGCCAAAAGGACCAGCAAAAAAATGAAGAAAAGGCAAAGAATCAAAATATTAAATAAAAACCGGAATGATGTTTGAATGGAATGAAAGAATTAAATGAAATGAATAGCAAAATATTGCTAAATGAACCAGTCAACAATTGAACAAATTGTAAAGGTAAATGTCTTGATAAAGAAGGCAAAAAATTGGAACCAAAATTATCATAATAATGTGAAAAAAACAAACCTTTTATCAACTTGAATTTCACCCTTTTTCTGGTTTCCTAAAAAAATGGTTTCAAATGGTCAGAGAGTTGAAAAAAGCTGAATAAGTTGAAAATTTTGAAGAAAAAAAATGATTGCCGAAGAGAGAAAAAGTAAAACCATTTTCACCCAGCAAAGTCAGGATAATGTTCATGATGATGATCATGAAAATGGTCATTTTTATCATTACATTTGCACACTTGAACCATCATCAAATTTGGTCACTCAACAACCAGAGTATATCTTACATGTAAACTTGTGAAGGGAAAAAAAAGTAAAGTCATTACTGGTCCATGGCTCAACCCTAAATATAAATAACCAACAAGGTCCATCATGAAAGGGGAATGGATATTGGCCTTGTTATGAATGTTGAAGATGAAGATGCAGAAAGGGTGAGTATGGTGATGATGAGAATGGCGGTGAAAGGGAAGAAAAGGTTTCTTGGATAAAGAAGGAGGACAGAATGGATAATGGATGTAAAGGGAAACTGTCTTCGTATTTTCATGCTATTAGTGGACCAATGAGCCGATCAACAATGACAACCTAACCTCATCACATGCAACATCCAAAAGTAAACCATAAACGCCTTTCCTTTTCCAATTCCTTCGCTTCTTTTCATTAATTCAACATTTATTTTCACATCTTTTCCCATCTTTACCATGTTCATCATCCTGACACAAGTCAATCTTGTTTTCCTTCCTTAACCTTTCATCTTAACCATAACTTTAGCCTCACAATTTTGAGCTGCTTTTATTTTCAACATAAACTTATGCAAAAAACTGATCCAAAATAAAGATTGAAAACAGTGAAGAAGAGTCGACTGTTGGACGACTCGTAGTCAGTCAAAGAGCAACTTGACTCGGTCAAGTTACAGTCAGTCAATGAATGTAACGACTGACTTCGATGTCTAAGGCTTAGACTCTAGAGATGAAAAAAAGGCGATGGAAAGCTGAACAAAATAAAGTTCGATCTTATTAAACTTTCATTTATTGTTTAAAAATTTCCGCTTAACTTGACCCTACAACAGTATTTTTATTACAATTTTTTCGCGTTTATTCCAACTTTGACTTTCGCTATTTACAATTTGTCATTGATTACAAGTTGAACATCAAAAAATGATGCTTTAATATGTCTAATAACAAGATATTTACACAAAATTTACTCAATTGTACAGAGTTTTTCTTGATTACTTTTCATTTTGTTTATTGACAAAATGAATGATTGACGTGCAATTTGATAAGTCTTTTTGGTAATATTAATCTATCTTTAAGGTTAGTTTTTAATTTTGTTGCTGTTGGTGTTGTTTCATTTTTACAGGTAAATTGTAACAATCTGGAAAGTTTAGTTTAACATTTTTGAGTTAATTTGGTCCAAAGGTTTGCTCCTTTCAAAATTTTTTCGTGTCAACCTAATTTTTTAGCTTCACATGATTGATGGCAATGTAATTGGCAACTTTAATTGTTGTCATCATCAGGATACAAAAAGAAAAGGTATCAAGTTAAACATATAAATTATCATCTGATCAAAATCATCATTAACAACAAATGTAATTAAAACAAGGTTCTTCTCCTCAATGGTTAATGATGTGGTTTTTGCCATCAACATAACGACATTTTCCTTTGGTTCAATCAGGCCACAACAAACATGATTAAAGATGGTAATACAAGGAAAGGTTCATTTCTTGTACATTTTATCCAGTTTCACGATCTCTTCATCAGATGTTATCCAACCATTGTTATCATCAGCTTTAACAATTGATATTTTTCTTGCTTCTTGTTTCACCATTTATTTATTGTTACCTTCATCCACATCATATTTCACCCTTTAAAGGCTCTTAATTGTTCCCAATGTCAGGCTTGTTTTACATTAAATATTTGAGCACAGAAAATAGGTTGTCATGGTTTGACATATTTCAGCAAATGTTGGACGATCTTCAGGTCTATTAAATAAAAAAAGGTAAAATTAGTAACATTGGAAAATATCGTTTCCTCAGAGATTCATTTTTGTCAAAATTTTGATTTATTTAAACTAATTTATTGCTATATTAGCTTATTATTTAACGGTTAATCAATTCAACAATTTGTGTAAAATGAGCTTTCAAAATGGGCGCCTCTTAGTTAGCCGTTATTTTAACTCTTTATACGTAATCACATGTTTCCCTCTCATTTTGAATTGACTTGTTTCTTTATAATGGTTTTTGTTTTTAATTTTGTTTGTGGTTGATTTTGATTTTAATTGGGTAAGTATTTCAATTTAACATTCAAATTTATGTTTGCTAATGATATTAACTAATTTGTTTTAATTGTGTTTCAAGATTGGTAAAAGAAGGTGTATTGCTTTATGGATTACTCAATGGACTAACCAATTGGCTTGTTAATGGACTAATTTGCTGGACTATAAGTACATCAATGTTTGGTTGGCGAGATTTCAATGGTGAACATGAGTTTAGCAGGAGATAAGTCTAATTATGTACTTATGTTATAAATTGTAACAAATGAAAGACGAAGACCGATGAAGGTACAATCTGGTTAGTTACGTATCTTTTGTGTAACTACAGAAAAGCTAATCTGTTTTTTCTTACCTAAATTGCCAACATTTCCACATAAGCTGGTATATTTCTTGGGGACAATTATCAGGCTTTGGAAGACGTCGATTCTCTCGGAATAATCTTAATATATCTTGGCCATCCATTCCCTAATACAAAAGGAAACAAGATGGAAAGAAAGAGTGATAAGTCATAATAAGTTTACCATTGGAAAAAAAGAGGGAAAATTGAATCAATAGCAATATTATTATTACCAGGCGCAAAGGAAGGATCAAAAGTGAAAAGTGAAAGAGAAATGGATGAGCAAAGGAGGAGAAAAACATTCAACGGATATTGGAATCATTTTTCAAGATGAAAAGAAAGATTGGAAAGATGATGATCAAAGGGAAAGGCCAATATTGATAGGGATGGAGAATAATAATCATGTAAAGAGATGATGATGAAAATATTAAGTACAAACGGTTGACCCAAAGATTGAATAATGAAAAATGAAAAGAGAAGGAGAAAAAAAAGGAATGAATAAGCAAGATAAATACTAGAAGATGAAGACAAGAAGGAAAAACAGTGAACATGATGGTACAACAGAGAGCAGAAAGTAGAGTAAAAAGAGTAAGTGATGATAATGATGATGATTATGTTGTTGTTGATGTTGATGATGATCTAGTATAAGATGAAGTAAATCAAATTGGGCGTTGATGAAAGATTCAAGTTAACATTACGGTTAACTTAAAGCAAAGTACGAAGCAAGAAGTTATTAATATATCTAGAATCAAGAAAAAAAGCCAAAGACTCTGTTGGATACTTGCAGTTGGAAACTAATTTCATTTCTGATTTTTCTAATCAACAAACATATGACAAGGATTGATTACAAATAATAGTAAACACTAAATGATATAACTGATGGTGCAACGATATTGAATAACTTTTAATATACCAACATTTCCCTCAATCTGGTAATTCATTCAATCAACTTCATTCTCTTCACCTGGAATTGCTACAGTTATACACACACACACACAAAAGAAGGAAGCTAATTGTTTCAAACCTAATATGGATCCAACCTAATGTGATTATCGAGGAAAAATGATGAATACAAAAAGTGAAACTAAAAGTGAATCTGGTTAATTTGTTTCAAGATTGTCATTTAATACTGACATGCAACTCTTGAAACAAAAAAGCTTTCTTGCATGAACAAACTTGTGAATCGTTTTAATATCATCGTGTGTTTGAAATGAAAAAAAACAAGTTACACAATTTTAATTTGTATTAATAGAAGACGAGAAAATTATTATCATTGAAGTTGTCAACTGTCAAAACTAAAAGATAATTAAATCTGTTGTAATTTCATTTCTGTCATCATCATCAGGAGAGTAACTATTTTGCAGCATTTCAACATTTGTGAATAAAAATCGTTTTCACAACAGATTTATATTGTATTAATAATAATAGCAATTATCATCACTCTCATCATTACTACTACTACAAGGCTGTATTTGAAAGCAAACTTTGATGAAACTTTTGTTAATTGTTAATGAAATGGTTAAAGATTGATTGTTGAAAGTAAAACCAGCAAAGAAGAAGAAGAGAAGAAAATATCGCTCAAATGAAAAGCAAAATGCAATAAGAAAAAAGAGAATGAGAAGAAGAAAAAAAAATGTAATAACAACAGTAATAATAATAATAATAATATTAATAATAGCAATAATGATGATGATTGCTAAACAATAAAAATGTCTTGATCAATTTTAGCTTCAATCTTAATGTTTCTTTGCTCCGTTCCGTTGCTCAAACAGAAACAATTAATGTTTCATCTTTTTCTTTGATCGCCTTTCCATTTTCACTCCCAGTTCACTCATTGACAGCCACCAATCAAGTGCAAAAACTTTTGCTGCTCCATCAATTCACATGCCTTGCACAGTTCAATAGCTTTGAGTCGCAAAAAAAAGTTCACCAAGCTTTATCCAGGCAAACAAAAGCTGACACATAAACAACTATAGTTTTACAAAAGGGAGGCAAAAAATGCACCAACAGCAATATTATTATCACAATCTCTTGCTTATTTGATAAGTTTCCTAGTCAATTGGATAAGAAGCTGAAAATTGAAAAGATGAACTTCAACTGTACAATCGATGATAACAGTTGCTGCCACTATCAATTCACCAGTTCCCCAAGCATAAGCAACAAATTCATCGCAAAAATTGTCTCCAGCTAGATTCCAATTGAACTGAGTTCGTTGTTGAAGTCTCCGAAGTTTGAATGCTTTTTGCCAACATTAACGAAATCTGAATTGGGACAGTAACTGCGAAACTGTGTTCCCTCTAAAATGAACCCGAAATCAATTTCAACCTTTTCTTGTCTCAATATTAAATTACGCTTGAATCTTTGTTATAACAATAATTATGACAGGGAATCACTGGGAATGATTATGATGGATCAGGTAAGAATAGAGGATTTGAGAGGAAAAAACATGTTCTCCAAGTTTATCATATTATTCTGGCCAGTCTCTTGTGGCATATTTTCACCATCTTTATACATTCTTGAACATCTTATTGTACTAATATAAACAACAACAATGGATGATAAAACATTTATCATAACAGAAAATACAATAACCTGGAAAGGGAAAAAAAGATGGACAAAACTGACCAAACAAAATGAAATGAACAAATGAAGGTAAAGTAGAGAAAGAAAAAGGTAACATTAAATTGGATTGAAAGGTTTTACCATTTATTTTTCAACTTCAATCCAATTCCTATTGGAATAGATTTTTATATTGATTATCTTTCAACAAAGAATTATGATCATTTCAACAATTTTTCATTCCCTGTAGAATCTCAAGAAGAGAGCAAGAAAAAAAAAGGTAAAGAAAAATACCAATCTGAGAATTTGATATTTTGTTCTATTCTCTTTTTTTCTCTCCTCATTTTGTTCGACCTTTTTACTCATATAAGGTCAAGTATGTATACTTGACATGATTGTCCTCACCTTAACAGGTATATAACAATAAATAACTTTTATACCTTTTGCGGTTCACCAAAAGTGTGACCAAAAGAGTGAAAAAAAGGACAACAAAAAGTTTTGATTTGTCTTTTCTTTTCCCTTTCCACTCACCAATAATTGTTCAATAATACAATATAAATCTTGAACTGATTGTTGAACTGATTGTGATTGATGTAACAATCAACTTGGAGTGTGAACAAAGTAGGAAAAAACTGAATTTCCAACAATTAGATTAGAATTGAAGATTATTCAACTTTTCAAGAAAATCATTTGAACTCAATTTCGAAGGGAAAAGTGCTCATTTTTGGGAAAAATGTATTTATTCAATCAGTTTAATCTTGAATTTCATGATAATCTCGTTTTGCTTTTTGCCTTTTCATTTTGTAACAATAAATAATAAAGAAATAAATTGTCACCATTTAAAAGCATTTCAACCCAAATTTGGATCCTTTTATGTTCCATTTAAACGTTTTCTCTCATTTCATTCAACGTAACTTTATTGCATGATGATTATCACCATTATTTATCGGCACATTTTTTGCTTACGCTCAGTATAACAAATCATTTTGAATGGAAAAGTAAAAGTAAACTTGGAATGGCGAAGGAAACTGGGAAAAGTTGAGGCTAAATTGAAAGTGAAACTCCAATTAAATGTGAATTGACATGTTATTCAATGCTTTTTTACACGAAAATTTCATTAAACAAACACACTTGCACCAGATTAATGATTGAAAAAAGCAATTCTCATCATTTTCCTTACATCATGTTTCATCTACAGCCAATATTTTCACTTTACTTCTCATAATTTTAGTTAATGTTTACACTTGTAAATGCATTGCATCTGGTTGGTTGACTATTCATCCCTCCATGTCAATCGAACCATATAAAAGTTAAATTGATCAAAAATCCAAAGTATTACCTCGACATTATAACATTATGTTACTGAAGCCTCGATATTTGTGAAACAGAGAAGATTCAGATTTGGTTATCGGTTCTAGCAATACTTTTCATCGGGAACTAAGAAGCATCAACCTGCGTCAAGAAGTTTCAAAGATCTTGTTTTGCCTAAAGAGATAAGAAATCATGTCACTCTTTCATCATGGGAAAGTCAATCATGACTTGAAGAAACGAAAAATATTGATCGAAAAAAATTTTCAAACTAAAGATCTCATTTGCAAATGATAATCTCTTTTACTCGAACAAAAAAAACCTCTTCATCTGTGCTGTACTTTCGATCCATTTTTTGTAAATTTAGTTGAATGTTGGAATGATTTTAAACTGATGAACAAGAAAAGCTATGAAATTGTTGAAATGTCGACTTTGATCAAAAGATTCTTATGTGATAATTATGAGTACGAAAATCTGTGCGTTTTGTTAAACTGTATCATTAGTTAATTAATTTAACAAGTCATTACTTGTAAAGTTGAAAACAAAAAGAGATGAAAAACAAATGTTTTATCAATTTACTATCCTGAGGTCATTTATCCAACAATAATGTTAATGATGTTAATGTTGATGATAGTGATGATTAAAATATCTTTATGTGAATAAAGAGTAAACAATAATGGAAAGGTTTAGTCGATGATAACAGCCAATGAAGACTAGAATCATAAATCACAAGCAGAATAGCCTGAAGACTCATTTCACCAGTAATAACATTAAATACGAAATCAATATCAACAGAGAAATTGTGAAATTAAATAATGAATAATTAGAAAAGTGAAATGAAAAAAACTGTGTTGATATGAAAATGAAATATTGAACCTCTTTAACCACTTATCACTTTCAAGTTGTTTATTTATTGTTTTTTGGTAAATAAATAGCTGTTCAAGTTGAACAATATTTTATGGAAATGAAAGTTGAGATGAAAAGACAAACAAAAATGAGAAGCAAAATGAAAGCAAATAAAGGCAACTTTTGAAAAGGGAGTTTTAACTCCCAGTAAAAGTGAAAAAACAAAACAAGATAACATTACATTGATTTATGCTCGTTCAAGTTATAAATATGGTTTATGATAGGGAAAATGATAAGATAATTTGATAACGTTACTTTGATAAACTTATTTGAGATGAGATGAAATAGTGAAACTAATGATGAAAGGAAAAGATGAAGAGAGAGAGAGAAGAGTAAAGAAACAATAATAGTTATGATGATGGGTTGTTATCATGGTTGTGCGTGTGAATGTGGTTCAATGCTGGGAATGTTCATTTCTCTCTGTTTCTCTTATTGCTAAACATTTCTATTAATGTTGGTATAAAGTTATAATTTATAAGGTATTATGATAATGCCTGACGTTTAGTGAAAACAGTTTCTTACCTCATATGGTTTCTGTCCATAAGATAAAGATTCCCACATGGTTACACCATAAGACCAGACATCAGATTTGGTGCTGAATTTGAAATAATAAATACACTCAGGAGCATACCATTTTAATGGCCATTTGGATGCACTTTTAGCCTAAACAATGAACAGTTAAATGACAATGTATTAACAATTCAGAATCTTTTTTTACTCTTTTTTAAACTTTTTCCAACAATAAATTTCAACCAAGGATAATGGGTCAAATGTATCATCTCAATTACTGGAATGAAAAGCTCAGCAGACTTGGTGAGAGAAGATAATTTGTTGGATAAAGTTGAAGTGATTTTCAGGTTTAACATGAACTAACCTTGTAATACTCTTTGCCGATGCCGAGGGCTCTTGACATGCCAAAGTCACTTACTTTGGCAAACTTTTCATTGACCAAAAGCACATTACGAGCTGCCAAGTCACGATGGATAAACTGTTTACTCTCAAGGTATTGCATTGCCATGGCCACTTGGAGCAACAAGGCAATGATGTCTTTAATGGTCACTCCAAATCCATGGTCAATCAGGTATTGATTTAATGGTCCCAATGGTGCCAGTTCCATGACTATCATGATTGGATCGGCTTCACAGACGCCTATCAAGCGAACAATGTGCTTGTGATCCAAGGCTGACATGGTTTGAGCTTCACGTAAAATTTCACTCTAATGAAAAGAGAGGAAAGACATTGAGTTGTCATGTTTTTCAATGGAAATTGTTGCATTTATTTTGATCATTAACTTGAATTATTGGGTTAAAGTGAATTGGTGTTGAAAAAAAGGTTCAATCTCTACTTAATGATCAAGACAACTTTTTTGTTTCTGTTCAATGGATTGTATTGAAATAACGAGTAATAATTATAATGAAAGATGATGATCCATCAAGTTGGTGTAATTTTATTCATTACTTTGTTTTCACATTGAATAAGGTGCATCAAGAGTAACAATCCAAAAGAAGAAAAACATTTTCATTTTCTCACTTCTTTGTTTTTCTGCCTTTTCTGTTCATGAAATAAATCCAAATTAATGAATAGTCATTATGTGTGTGTTCAACTTGTGCTTGTTGCGTGTGTGTTAAACATTGTATTTTACTGTTGATGTACAAGTATTACAAAGTTACTAAATCATCTTTAATGTTTACCTTCAAATATGTTATGAAGGGAAACTCAATAAAAAAATAAATAATCAGTGATAATAAATATTGGCTAATTCAAGTCAACCCAGGATAATGCAAGAATCATTAGCCAAGAAAATTTATAACAACCTTCCAATAAACAGGTAAACAATAAATGTTCAAAGAAGCAAATTACTTTGATTAACTCAGTTCGAATAAAGTTCCAACAGAAAACTTTTCGTTCCTAAATTATTATCGATTGCAGTTGTTCGCAATCGTTTCAATTTCGTTTATTGATTTGAATCATTCCCATCGTCAGAATGTTTCCCATTTCGGTTTTATTTGAGTTCACTTGTCTATCAATTGGCATTTGACGTACAGTAAAGAACGATCTATCGATTGAAATGGTGAGCTCGCTGTTAGTTCTGATTCTTTTTTTTCGAAACTTGTTCCATCTGAAATTTTCACAGCTTTTCACTTTTCTTGTTGACATGATTTAATGATTTTCAAAAGAAAAAGTTTCAACATTTAATGGATATTCAGGAAGAAAACAATTGAAAGTACGAAACTTTTGCTTATGGATATTGATCTGAACAAGAAGAAAATTATCGATATTTTAATGGAACTTTTCATTTCTTTTTCTTTCCAACTCTAGAATGGATTTTCTGTTGATAAGAATCTCCAAGTTACTCGTTATTTTTAATTCCCTGATTCTGTGATTTTCATCGTCAACATTTCCCTTTATCATTTCATTTTGCTTCTGGTTTTGAAGGAACAATTTTCGCTGTGAAAACGATTTAACCAAAGAAGAAGCAAAAAAAAGGAAAATCTAAAGAACAATCATATTTTACTTGACCATCATAATGACCATTAAAGTTATGATGAAGCTCTTGGTGACCAGACATTATCATTACCATTATCATAATAATCATCACTTTATAAAAGTTGAGAGAAGATCATTTTTTTAAATATCATTCTCATTTCAACCATTTTACGAACAAGCAAAACAAAACAAAAGCGATTCCAATTTTTCCATTTTCACAAAATCGACAAAAATCGAGTTCTAAATCCAAGAAATTCAACTTCGAAATCAACTTTAGAAGCGAAAAAAAGTTGAACTTGCAATTTGACGAAAAATAATTCCAATAACAATGATTATTAATGGAAAAATAATAATACAAATTATGTTTAATGATGGCAAATGGATGATGTTGGATGGGAACAAAAGTGTATTATACTAAACATGGGTGAGGCGGAATATAAAATGGACCAAATTTTCTTGTTAAACATGAATATCTATTTATTTACAGAATTTCTTGGTGGAAAAGTTTATCATGACAATCAAAGTGACAGCTTAATTTAACGTTTTAATCAAAACCATGGCTTTGAATCTTTACTTCATCATCTTTTTTTTCCCTGTCGTTAAAGCCATCATCTTTATAATCCAAAGTTTATATTATAAGATGAAGCTTCTTTTACCATGAAGATAATAATAATAATTTTTTCTTTTCTTTCCTGGAACAATCAAATTGAATATCATTTTGTCAAAGTAAAAAAAAAGTTTTTCTCTTCGCCTCCTTAAATTAATCATCTTCTTCATTCTCTTACCTTTTCTTTCATCCAAATAAGATGATAATAATAATCATCATAAGAATAATAATCTTGGCATTATCATGAGAACAATGAAATCAACTAAGCAAAACTTTGCAAATAGCAATACTGTTTTGGGATAAAAAAACGAAAAAATGTAATAAGAAAACCTTTTCTTTTACCTTTTCCTTTCACCTATTATCAACCTTTCTACAGGGTTGACAATTTATTCTGGAGAGACTTTGAAAGCGTTTAAATTTTAAACTACTTATTCGAATTAGAAGATTCAAAAGGCATCTTGTAGACAAAATAAAGGAGATTAAGATGAGATGAAATTCGGCGTTAAATTTTGTTAGGAAAAGGTCATTTTTGCTATTTTACGAAAAAGTGTCATTTCAATATGGTTTTAGATTTTGAAACAAGAAGAAAAATTATTTCAACTTATTATTTATGTGGTCAAAATGAGTATCAAACTCACAAGAAATTATTGCTTGAATTGAAAAAAAATTGTCCATCTAAATCATCAATTCATCGTGTTGTGCGAACCTGGGAAAATTCAAATGGTGAAAAGGTCAAAATTAAACGATCTCGACATGTTTTGACTCCAGAAAAACTCAATGAAATTTCAGCATCTGTTACTGATAAACCTGAACTTTCTGATGTTCGTCGTGCTAATGAACTGAAAATTTCTAAATCATCTCTTCGAAACGGTAGGAAAATTTTATCAATTAAAGCTTATAAACTCAGAACGGTTCATGAATTGAAACCCGAAGATAATGAAAAACGAATGCGATTTTGCTCCTGGTTAGTTGATTTTTTCAAATGTGAACAGAATAGGTCAATGATAATCTTTTCAGATGAAGCATATATTGAGCTTAATCCACCTAGAAATTCTCAAAACAATCGATATTATTCAACAGTGAAACCAAAAATTTTTCAGGCTAAAAAACATTTCCCTAAAAAGTTAGGAATTTGGGCAGGATTATCTGGTAAAAAACTTTTTGGACCAATATTTTTTGAAAATGTCAGGATTAATTCTGAATATTACATATCTTTGATTAAAGAATTCATTAACATGATACCGAGAAATCAGAAAAATAAGGTTTACTTTCAACAAGATGGAGCTCGAGCTCACACAAGTAGAGCATCAATTGAGTTTTTGAAAAAACATTTTGGAAAAAGATTAATTTCTCAGAATTCTGAGTTATCATGGCCATCTAGATCATGCGATCTGAATCCATTAGATTTTTACCTTTGGGGTCATCTAAAATCTCATCTTTCATATCAAAAATTTTCCACTATTGATGAATTGAAAGCAATAATTTTGAACTTTTTTTCCTCCATTAACGCTCAAGATTTGTCAAAGGTTATCGATAATCTGAACAAAAGAGCTGAAATTTGCATTACACAAGAAGGTGGCCACATTGAAAATGTAATGAATTAAATTCTCTAAATCTGATGATCAATTTGAGCCCTCATACAAGTAATAAAGTTTAATATTTCAAAAAATATATCAATTCAAAGTCTCTCCAGAATAAATTGTCAACCCTGTATAATCGATATTGAAATGTTCAGTCAATTCAGTCATTTAGAAGTTATTCATTTCCTTCTTCAATCATGACAGCTTCGATTCGACAAGAGACTGGTCGAATTCATCTCTATAAAGGCAATGGAAATTGTACAATCATTCTATTTCAATACAGAGTAGAACCAACTTTCATTTGAACAAAACCAGCATTCAAAAGAGTAAAATAAACTGACTAAAGACTCAGAGTTTCATAGCAACAAAATTAGCGTTTAAATGACCAAAATTCACTTTCATAAGTTAAAAACTCTCGAGTTAAAGAGTATCTTTATTCAGTGCGTGGATTATTTCGATAATTGTTAATTACTTCTTTTCTGATGCATCGCAAATGAAAGGTTTGGTCTGAATGTAACCCCAAAAATATACGAATTTTTAGAACCTGTTATTCTATACACTGTAGTTGGCATTAAAATGAAAAAAGATGCGCATTAATTTGCGAGCCTAAATGTTTTTGAACGTCTTTCCATATCCATTCATTTTGATTAATCTCAATATTTGATGCTAAAATGCAAAAGTCTACAACACCGGGGGTTCCCAAGTGGTCTCCCTCCCAAGTACTAACCCGGCCCGAAACTGCTTAACTTCGGAGATCGGACGGGATCCGGTGTTTTCAGTCTGGTGTGGTCGTAGACACAAGAAAGGTTCAATACTGCTATATAAACATGGAAACTTATTTCAATAGCCAATATCAATATTTTTTTTCTTCATTTTATTTTCTTTCTTTCTTTTTCTTTTTCAAATTCTAAATTCTAGCGAGAAAAATATACATAGAAAACTTTTCAATCAAATGCCTCGAATGAACGAATTTCTAGGTTGACTTTGTAGGTTTGTAGGGGTATAAAAACTGAGTCTATTAAAAAGCGTTATTCTAGTTTTATGTGATTAACAGTCTTCGGTGGAAAATTAAAATCGAATTCATTGAAAAATTAATGATAATCCTCTTTACATACTCTAAATAGTAACTCTTAACTCGAGAGTTATTGTCTTATGAAAGTTAATTTTAGTCATTTGAACGAACGATAGTTTTGTTGTTATGAAAGTTGGTTCTATTGAAACGAGAATCATTGAAAGACTTGTTTAAATTTTACAATTCTAGACGAAAAGTCTTGTGCTTATCAAAGTAAGCCAGCGCATACTATTGCTAATAAATGTGTAGATTTGAGTCGACTGAATGTTTGACAGGCTACAAAATGTCATCATTAAATGTTTGATTGAAATGAGCAACTGAAACAATTTTGATCGAGTCTCTAACTATTTGATTTATAACCATCGGGATTGCAATTTGGTTTTCAATTTCCTTTAATTAATATACAATAAATGATAAACCACTTCCTTCCTCAACAATTGTAACTCTTGATTTACTCAATTAATGACGTT